CCCTCCCTACTCCCCGGGACTGTTGTTTCTCGTCTCCCCCTGGGTTTTCAGAGGGTTCCCCTGTGCAGTCAGCCTGGCGAGCATGCCGCTTTCAGTGGTGTTGTCGGCTTGGTTCGCTCACTGGCCCGGGTCTGACTGGCACCTGAGCTCTCGGCAGACTCGTCCTCCAACCCTCACAGGACCCTCAGCTCAGGGGGAGGCTCTTACCAAGTAGCCACGCCTCTTCCTCTTTCTTCACGGGCATTTCCTGTTGGACGCACACGTAGCCGAACTGGGTCTGTTTCAGATGGACAGCCATATTTTTTCTCTTTTTGTTTTTGGGTTTGTTTGTTTTTTTTCTTCCTGTGTGCGCGCACAGTAAACCCGCCCGAGACCGAACTCTCTAATAACTAAAAGTCATGTACAGAAAAACTCATGTATGAAACCTGTATGTTAATTAATAAGACCTTATGGAATGTTGATAATGATAATTAACGAATATTGATAAACTTAAAGTGGTACTTCCTCATGTCTGCATTTCAAATAGGAGTGGAGTGCACTTCACAAGTGTCTAGCTGGAGTTTCCGCCCCCCCCAAACCGCTCGCCGACCTAATGACAGCTCTCCCGTTTCTACCGGGAGATTAAACAAGAAAAGCGCTTCCTTTTTCTCTGCTTCTTTCCTCGTTCCTTTTCTCTTCTTCTCTTTTATTCGCGCTTGCTTTCTTTCTTCCTAACAGGAAACAGTAGCACCAGAAATAGGCCAACAGGGAAGGAAAGTCGAGATGGAATGAGAGTATGTAGGTTAGGAAACCCTTCTCTTAGGCTTTATTAATGAAAAGAGAGATGACTCAAGTGCGCTTTGCAAGGTTACTCGGGAGAAGTGCACTTTCTGAAGGCTATTTGACTGAGAGGCAACTGGAGAGAAGTCGATGGCGTTTGTTTTACTTAAAGGCCTCAGGTGAACTTCAGTGGCACTTATGAATTCACACTTATTATTTCTCCCTCCCACTGAATACTGGGTTTGAGACCTCAGATGTGAATAGAAAATGCTCATCTTCAGCCTGAGACAGTGACATGTCTAATATGAATATGCTTTATATGATATATATGTATTAGAGGTATATTTTCAGCCAGTGAGCTATCTTCTTCAGAGATGTCAACCATTCCTCAGTTGTATGAACAGTTATTACACAGTAACGAACAGTTATAACTTAATTCACTCCCCCCTTTACTGAGGAGCATTCTGACATGTGTAGAGTACATTTATTATATGCTTTATTCTATTAAATATTATATGAAATAACAAAGTCCTTATAAAACAACTGGCCAATGTAAAGTTCATCAAGAATTTACTGATGTTGATTGATCGTTGTAACTAAACCAAAGGTTGGCACTTAACTCAGAGAGCGTATTTAACATTGCTGTTTTTATTTTCATTTAGGTTCCAATTTTGTTGTTGTTTGTTTGTTTGTTGTTTTTTTGTTTTTTTTTTTGGTTCTGGATGTGGGAGAATGTAGCCAATTGTAGCGCATGAGTCCGCTATGCAAATCAACCTTCCCTCACGATCCTGTATGAGAGACAGTCAGGAGGCAGACACACCCACCCGCGGGCGCTCTCATGGACTCTGGCAGCGACACGGACGGAGAGGAGGAGGAGATCTCATGATTAATGCTGCTGGTGAACTTTGTTGTTCTGCATCTACTACTATGTTTTAACCAATGGAATGCAAAAAGAGAGCAACAAGGAGGGAGAGAGCAAACGAGAGAAAGAGAGCGAATGAATGTAAACTAAAGGATGAAAGTGTGTGTTTGTGAATGATGCGGTGGTCAGTGACAGTGAGAGAGAGGTGAAGAGTTAACTACTGCAGGTGGTTTATTGTTTGTGGGTGTGTGTAGACTGTGTGTCAGTTCTGGGGTGGTGTTGCTCGGGGAAAGAGGGAACCTGTATTTTTGCAATAAAGTTATTACCAATGCACTCCCACAGGGGGCGTAACCACTGTACCCTAATGTGTGTGTGTCATTATTTGTGGAAAGATAAAGAAGCTGAACATTCAACTTTTTGACAGTAAAATTATGTTGACTTGCGAAAACGTTCAGAAGTATAAAATCAAATTATCAATCCACTTGCTATTATCTTTTTTGGGTTAATTTATTACACAAAGCTATGATTTTATATTTTTACAGAACAATTACAAAATTTCTTGACATGCATTTACTTTGATTCTCTGAGTGCAGTGATGAAAGAAGTATTCAAATCTTTTACTTCAGTAACCACACTGTGATACTCCCCTACAAGAAAACCTTCACTTAAGTAAAAGTATTTTCAGCAAAAGGTAAAAGTACTCATTCTGTAGTAAAATGGTCCCTAAAAGATTTTATCCTAAAAATACAAATTCAGCAAATTTGGAGATACCTGGTTTTCACTGGACAGTAAGATTATAAAATA